GTGCCCAATGTACAATTATTCTAGTAAACAGCTGCATTTATTTGGATAAAGGCTTAAAGGAAAATTTACAGTATATACTTGTGGCAATGGTGCAGGGTCCTTCCTCGAGGAGATTTGGCCTCCCCTTCAATCAAGACACTTGGGTCTGGAAACTAGGTGAAAGAACATGTCTATCCAGTATGGCAACTCGGGTCAGAGTTTTGGCTACTAGAACAAGTAGCTTAGTATTTTCTGTTGGATAGATCAAGCAATTTTTAGTATACTTCCCATCTATTTCGTCCCTAGAAACATCATGGCAACTACCAAAGATCCTTATGGGCCAAGGTATTCAGATTACTGGTATGTCCCTGCTGCTCTATAGAGTTGATGTGCCCACCTTTTACAATTACATGCTGCCACTTGGCATCACCACCTCTACTAAAATCAGGGAGCCCAACTCAATAGTGGCATCCCTCATGGCCACATCTGGCCTAAAAAGGAGAGCAACCACAGAGCTTTTCAAGGATGCTGGTGTTCCCTTCTCTAAAGTAATTCTCAGTGCCTTAGAGAAAGATGCGTCTTCTGGACCTTCTTGTGGGGCATAGTTCTTGTGTTTGTGTCTGTTGTGTGCAGGTCAAGGTAGGGCTCTTTCCTCCACATTATGCTTTGGTATCTCAATAGCACTAACTGTATGCCACTGTTGAGTCAAAGCTTCAGTAAATCCACCAAGTAAGCTATTAGAGGCACCGCTACTTGTATGAATCAACACTATATATCTGTAAGGGCATCTCTAGTAAGAGCATCCATGTAAGTTAATTTGGTGTGATACAGTACTGTGTACTGCCCTCCTTCATTTAAAACACTTAGAATCCATTTCTACATGTTCTCTGGTTTTCTGCTGATAATTATTAGCAAAGCCTTGTAATTCCTTTGGTGTGCAAGCTGTTTCATCCTATGTCATTGTGTGTGCCTGCCAACCTGGGGCACTATGAAATTTGAACCTAGTTATGGGTCTAAAGGCAATAGGACAGAGGGAAGAGTGGGTTGTGGTGGGTCTTATGGAGAAGGAGCTTCCCTTTCAAGTCATCAGTGCCAAGTGAGGATTTCACAGCGTTTTCAAGGAAAGGATGACTAGTCTCCATAGACATAGAAGGTAAGCTACTTCCATTGCCAAGGAAGGCTCAGGGTGACTTGTGTGTTCAAAATTGTCAGTTACCTAGGTCCAAGCAGAGTCCTTATTTCAAGTTTTGTGATTACATTCCTTCCCAACTGATGCTTCAACTTTCACAAGAGAAACTTAGCAAGGCTGTAAATTCAACTAATATTATAATTCAGCCCACAGGGAGGTGTCAAACACTGCTCACAGTGATCACTGTGCTCTGAAGAGCCAGCTGAGAGGAGCATAATGGAATCAGAAAGAGCCCCTTCCTCCTCTAATGTTCCTCCAGCACCCTCTACTGATGAAGCTTACTGACCACTGGGCCAAATGGCAGGGGAGAAATGTTCCAGTCTTGCAATCAGGGCAGTGAAGGCTGGGTTTGGATCTGAGAATCAGTGGGTTGATAACTAGTAATGCACCTCACCTTCATCGGCCTCCTATAGCCTCTCCTATCACTCTGATAAAAACACATGTATCACAAATAGAAATGAAGAAATCAAGACCCCAATGAGGATGCCAACACCATCAAGAACATCCTCCTAATACTACATACTCACAAGTACGTAGGGTAACCAACAATCTCAGTTTGCCCAGGACTGTCTTGGCTCTAGTCCTGTGTTCTGGGAAACCCTTCAGTCCCAGACAAGCCAGAACAATTTGTCACCCTACATGTGTCCCAGAGGTTTTCTAACTTTCTGTGCATCAGAATCACATTGGGCACTTCTTAAAAATGTAGGCAATTCTGTTTTAAAAATGCAGTGATTTCAGATGCAAGTGGGTCATGGATTGATTTTTGAGGAACACTCTACGTAGAGGCTGAAGAGGTGTTAATTGCTACTTTTAGGGACTCCTCAGTCCAGACCTCTTTGTTCCTGTTCCAAAACTATAATCATTGAAAAGAAAGAAGTGACATCCTTTGGAAGATACAACCAACGTTTCTGAGCCAGAAGCAGACACTGAAAAATTTGATGGGGGGTGGGGAGAGGCGGAATCATAGTCTGGCCTTACCACTTTCTCTCCTTTCAGTTCTAAGATAAATAATTTTTCCTTCAATGTCACAAAGTATAGCAAAGAATAACAGATGCTGTAAAAATTGGATTTGATAGTAGCAACAATATAGGCACACTGATAGGGTACACTGAGCTTCCTGCAGATAGTGTACATTGATAGCGTACACTAACACCGGGCTTATTTTAAAGATATCCACAGTGACTATGCTTTGGTAGATCTAAGAGAATGACTTAGAATGACTGAATTAACCACGAAATGGTTAATTCAGTGTTACTTTTGCTATTTTCACACTGTAAAATACATAGTTTAACATGGCCACTTTAAAGATGTTTCTCAAGAGCTCGTAGGGGTGAAGAGAAGGCACTCTGCTCTTAACACTCTTTACATTTATTGAGTTTCTATTGTGTTCCAAGCACTGTGCTAGATTCTTTAAATACATTCTGTATTTCATTTAATGCTGATAAGAGCCATGCCCATCTCTAAAAGAAGCAGAGTGCTGGCCCTGCATACGTCGAGAAAATAGCGTCCGGACCAACACCTAGGTCTGTTCACTCCAGCAAAATTTGCTTAGCACTCGGGAGCCCAGACGATTGAAGGCGTGGTCCTACGCCGTGTTCTAAGTGTTATGATCTACGTATGTACGAGCTGCAATGGGAACACACGGGAAGCGCACCTTAGACTCCCCGTGCTTTCGGGACAAAATGCAAATCCTTTCGCTGAGCCCATCACAACGCGGTGCACCAATCCCCTCTTGCTTCCGCCAGCGCCGCTGAGACCCGGTTGTACTTTCCGCAGTAGACCGAAGATGCCGGTGCTTGAACGTCTCCAGTTTCGAGGACCTCTCGCCCCGAGGACCACGGCATAGGAGACATGTCTTCATTCCCGTACCCCGGCCCCTCCCTCCGCTCCACCGCACCCTCAATCCCTCTCCCCTGCTCCAACCCCGGCCTGTTCATCCGAACTTTCAGCGACTCGGCCCTTCGGGCGCGGGGGATGCGGGGCTGCCCGGTCTCCAGGCTGCGCACCGGAAGCGGCGGCAGCGGCGGCGCGTGACGTCGGGAGGAAGTGCCTGTGGTTGGGAGCTGCTGGAGTCGGTGCCTCACGCTTAAGGTTCCCCGGACCGCAGGTGGCAAGAGCGGGGCTGGGGCAGCGGGGGTCGCTCCAAGGGCTAGCGAGGTTGGATCTGCGCGCCGGGTCCGACAGGTGCGCTCTCCCGCTGGGTGCCCGGGGCTGGGGGTGTGAGGACCGCCCCTGAGGTCCCTTCCAAGGCCTCCTGGAAGAGAAAAAGGGTCTAAATTAGGGAAAAGAGCCAACCATTACCCAGGACCAGCCTCTTTCACCTGTGAGGCCCACTTAACCTGCACCTCAGCGGTGAGGGAGGTGTTGATTCCCCTGTTTACTGAGGAAGAAACGGGCTCGGAAGGGTGAAGTCATTTGCCACAGGTCATGCAGCTGGGAACTGAGAGACCTGAATTCATAGCGAGTCTTGGCTGGCGCCGGATCCTTGTTCTTGGCGCTGCAGCGGGGTTCTCAAGCTTTGTCTGTGTAAATAATTCCGGGGTGGATGCTGGCTTGAGTTAAGTTCTGGGACTCCACAAATCGAGTAGGTCTGGGATGGGGCTCTGGAATCTATATTTTCAACAGTTGTCCCCTGACAAATAATATATTGCTCCCCTGTGAACGAGCAAGAAGGGGAGCAGGTCATAACCCCCCTGGGGACTATAGCTAATTGTCGTGTTAAGCTTTTAAGACCTCAATTCAGAGAAAATGTCAAACTGGGGTTTCCTGCATACATCTTACTTGCCTGGAGAGTTGGTATTTGGTTCTGTCAATAACTTTTGTGCAGATGGCAGCTTCTGTCATCTCCCCACCTGTTAAATGAGAAGAATTACATGCTTATCACCTGGGGGAATTTGTTAAATGCACAGAGTCCTGAGTCCACCTCAGTTCTACTGAATCAGAAGGTCTGGGGTGGGGTCTGGGAATCCATAGGCTTAACAAACTGTAAAATTAGCTTGTTACCTGTGGGAACTTGAGCTGTGAAGCTTTCTTAAATAGACCCATAAGGAAATGGATCACAGATTCAAAACATGTGGATTAAACCTTGTTTTGGTTGTGTTTTCTGTGCTGTGCATGCTCCTGTATTTGTTGTGGGCTAAACCTATATTGGCAAAAATGTCAAATTAGTATTACTAGCCATTATGAGGTAGATTTTTCAGTTAGCTGAAGACTGAAACTTAATATAATTTGGATGTTAATCTACCTACTGTTGATTTCCTGAGTGATTTTGGGTGAGTCACTAAACCTTGTAATCCCCATACATAGCCACATATCATCAAATCCTACACTGCTTGTTATAAAGACAAATGTCTACATCCATCCTAAATCAGATTTTGTGCACGTGGGCCATAGGTGTTTTTAACAAGCCTTCAGGAAATTTTGATGCAGCCAATGATAATGGAATATAGAAATATGCTTGGAAACTGGTCTTAGCCTATTTCTCAATGTCCATGTAGGTGAAAATGGGAGTATACGGTTTCTTTAAGTTCTACTCTTGGGGACTAATAAGAGTAATGTGGTTTATGAAAAGTTCAGGTTGTGAAAGAAGTAAAAGTACTATGATAAGATTATAAAAGATAAACAATAAACCCGGCAGCCCCAGGTGATTGAGGAGGCTACTGATTGAGATGTTGTGATGACAGAATTGATTTTACATGGAAGTACCGATTTCTTTTTGAGCCATCTCTTTTGCCTGAAAGGATTGTAATTACCCCTTAGCAGACCAAGCTCTCACAACACTAACTCAAAGCATCCCCTGCCCTCCCTCCCCCTTTTTAAAACAGGTACCATTGTGCGGTTTGAATCAGGAACAAAATCTTCTGAAAGCTCAGAACAGAAGCCTTTTTTGGTCAACATGGAGGACAAAAGAAAGCGAGCCCGTGTACAGGGAGCCTGGGCTGCCCCTGCTAAGAGCCAGGCCATTGCTCAGCCAGGCAAGAACCTGTAGGGATTGTGTGTGTGTGTGTGTGTTTGTGAATGTGGATGACTGTCACCTTCTTTTATTTATATCCTTTTGGTTTATAGTAGACTCCCATTTCAGTTTATATTAAGGATTGTTTTAAACATGGCTGGCATTTTGTCTGATTTTGTTGTTGGGGGGGCTGAAGGTAGGTCTTTAGAGTTCCTCATATTTAATCAATACCTTCAAACCTTTCAGTGTGTATTGAGGTCTTCCGTTGACTTTATCTAGTTTTTAGATGTAATAGAAGTAATTTTCCAAGTGGATATTATTGGCCCTTGCTCAATAGAAGGTCATGAGAACATACTTTTCTCCGGTTTGAGGTTGTTCTCTCTCTTGCTTCAGCTACTACTGCTAAGAGCCAACTCCACCAGATGCCTGGTCATACCTGGGGGAACAAAGAGCATCATCTATCTGACAGAGAGTTTGTGTTCAAGGAACCCCAGCAGGTAAATTCTTGTTTCTCCTTCAATAACAACAAAGATTTGCTTAAAAAAGCTATATTCACATAGTAAACACTTAAATAGTGACTGAATAAATTCACTAATGAATTTATGTTATAGTAGTGAATTTCTTAAATTCACTAATGAATGAGTGAAAGAACCGTGATTATAATGATATATGAAGTATTTCAGTTCCTTCATATGTCTGAGGATTCTTCATAGTCTGTCCCCCACTTATGGTCAAGTATTATTGCCATTTTTTTGGCAAGGAGGCTATAGCATGACTAGTGGCTAGAGGTTATATCATGACTAGAGCTTGCATTGGTTATTTAAGTCCTGACATCCTAAAATCATGCTGTCTTCAGTGCTATTTCAGCATTTGTCTTTGGAATTGGATTGAAATTTTATTTATTACAGCAAAATGCATGATTCTTAGCTCCTTTTTCCATCTAGGAAGAATGTAAGAAACAGTGAAGATTAATTTTTTAATAATATGGAAAAAATTTAGGGCCAGCCCGTGCTCACTTGGAAGAGTGTGGTGCTGATAACACCAAGGCCATGGGTTCAGATCCCTGTATAGAGATGGCTGGTTAGCTCACTTGGGAGAGCGTGGTGCTGACAACACCAAGTCAAGAGTTAAGATCCCCTTACTGGTCATCTTTTAAAAATAAAAAGGAAAAAATTTTAAAAATCAGACATCTTGCTTTAGTAATGATTGTATAAATAATTATCAAAAGTTCTTATATTTTATAGTACATCTTCTATTTTTACAAAATCTTTATGTAACGAAGATTTTTCTGTAGCTGCTGGCCATTAGAAAAATTGTTTACTTCTAATTATATCATCTTTTACTGTGTGCTAACAAGTGTGAAGTAGTTATAAGAGGAGAAACGAGGATCTCTGGTGAGGTAGTGAGAGTTTGGAATAACAGAAGGATAGTTTTTAACTTGATTTATTTTGACCAGAAATGGGAGGATCTGGTAAGTTGTTTGAGGATTAGGAATCATTCCAGAAGTAAGATCTGCCTGTTTTCTTGCAGGTAGTACGTAAAGCCCCAGAGCCACGAGTGATTGAGTAAGTAATTTGCTGCCTTCCTGTAATTGTTGCTCACAGTGAAATGGAGAGCCCCGGATCTTTCCCTCACCCCAATTTTTCTATCTGGTAGAGAATGGCCAATTAAGTATCTTAATTTAGGCTAGGATATTCGTATCTCAAATGTCTTTAAACTTAATCTTTTGAGAAGACTTTCTGAATTTGCTGATGGTATGGAAAATGCAAAAAGATCTCTGTACATTAGACTCTGATTCTGGTGTGGATTTCCTGGCCCTATTTCACTGACATCTGTAGACAGTAAGCTAAAACATCTCTTAGGTAAAGACAAAGGGGGATTTTTCCTGAGTCATTGAAACATGTCTCTTTGAGAAGCCCTTAAGTACCATTTTGCTAGCAGTGCTTATAAAAGCTGCTAGCAATCTGGGTGACCTTATACTCCATTTATTAAAACCACATAATTGTTCCAGAGTAATTTAAATGATATTAAACATTTGTCTTATATTGATCTGTGTTGAAAATATTTTTATCCCAAATTGGTGAAAGATGCTTTGGCTCATTTTCTGATTCTCAATTTCCATCTGATGTAGATAAATTGGCAATAAAAATTATCCTTTTGCTTTAGCAAATTAGCATTGGGTGTAAGTTCTTGTCCATGAGCTGTTATGCTGTTTGGCTATTTGCAGGTTGGCTGTATATCTTAGGAAAATTTGAAACTAACACAAATGTCAATATATGAATATCTAATCTTGGCTTTGCCACTAGTTAGCATTAGTTCTTAGGTAAGTTATTTCCATCTCTCTGGACTTTGGTTTCCTTGACTGTAAAATTAGGTGCATAGACCACATAATCATTTAAGTCCTGGTCTAGTTGTAAACGTCTTTGTTTTAAAAATACCAGTGGTATTGCCTCCATTGGCGATAAAGAGAATAAACAAAACCATGAAACCCGATACAAGGTAGGGGTGGGACATTTGGGCTGAAAAAAATGAACAATTGTGACTTTGCAAGTCAGAGAAAAATGACAGAACCCATTCCTACTTAGCCCTAGGTTTGTTAATTCTGGTTATCTAAAGTTAACTATGTTAGATTTTCTTTTTAATAGCCAGAAATGTGTTCTACATTTAAAATGAGCCAGCTTCTAAATGTGGGTCGAAATATATCACATTGAGACATTGTATTCACACTCTGAGAAACTTTAAAGACAGCTTATATAGAAATGTGATAATTATATATGATAACTATGACTACATTTTGCCTCAAAGAGGCTCCACGTAAGAGCCTAGCTGAGAGATCATGAACTACTAACTCCTGTGACAGAGGGAGATGTGAAAACTGTCCCTTTATGTTATTCTTTATAACATATCTTTTTCTGAGGAGGATCTCACACAGGTGTCTTAATACATGCACCAGTTGTCCTGATACATCCAGTGTGTGTCACTTTTGTCATCATGGACCTCACCGTCCTGCACACCTGTAACAGTTTTGTATTTTTTCACATTCGATTAAATTCAGTAGCTTTTATTGCCTATGTATAATGTGCAGGCAGTGGGAGACAGAATAATGACCTATTCCTTGCCCCTAAGGAGCCCACAGTTTAGTAAATAGACATGTAAACCAGTTGTAATCTTGTACATTATAAAACAGTAGTCCTTTATGTAAGGTTTAGTGCTAGCACAGAGGATGAGATGGTTGACATTATTTTCATGGATTAAAGGTCAGGAACAGTTTAGAGAAGGCAATCTTGCACTGAGATTTTTGAAGGGAGAATTAGAATTTTCTACTGGACCATCCTTGGAGATGGGTTGGGTTGGGGACGTTGAGTGGTGGGGAGGCATTTCAGCATGTAGAAAAACATGGGGTTATGGGCCGGCCCGGTGGCGCAATGGAGAGTGCGCCGCTTGGGAGTGCGGCGGTGCTCCTACCGAGGGTTTGGATCCCATGTGGAGACTGGTTCCCGCTCACTGGCTGAGTGCGGTGCGGGCACAACACCGAGGGTTGCGATCCCGTTACCGGTCAGTAAAAAAGACAAAAAAAAAAGGAAAAAAAAAAAAAAAAAGAAAAAAGAAAAACATGGGGTTAGAAATATAGTGGTGTATTCAGGAAATTCCATGCAATTGATTGTTGGAGGATGAGAAATCTGTGAGAACTGTCAGAAGATGGAGCTAGATCACAAAGACCTTGCTTGCAACTATGGGTAGCCACCGATGGATTTTAATCACAGGAGGAACCTCAGCAAATGATGTGCATACCAGCTGTTAAATGTATTCCCTGTTTCAGACTCTCCAAAGGGGAATCCCTTTGCTCTATTTGATAGCCCTTTGTGTGATATTTTCCTGGATCATATCAGTCTTAATTATGGGTAAAGTATAAAGGGGTAGAATCAGAATTTTTTTATCCCAGTCTTTGTCTCCATGGCCTGATCTTGTCAGAGTTCTATTCCCAACGTCATTAATGATGTAACTTCTCACCCCTTATCTTAGTGGTAGAAGGTGGGAATTATGCTGCCCTCATAGAGCTCCCTCATAGTTAAATCATTTTGGGGAGCCAGGACTTTGGGAACTCAAAAGGACAGCCCTTTCTCTGGGTGGCATATGTTGTTTGGCTTTAATCTAACAAGTCTGTTTCCCTTGTTTCTTTAGCAGAGAGGGTGTGTATGAAATCAGTCTGTCACCCACAGGTGTATCTAGGTAAGTGAACCCTCACTAGAAAGTAACTATAGTTATCTCTCAGTTATAGTCTCTTAAAATAGTTACTCCCTTATTTGAAATTGGTAACCTCTGCCCCTTAAATTCTTGGGGAGGGCTGGCTGGTTAGCTCAGTTGGTTAGAGTGCAGCCTTATAACACCAAGGTCATGGGTTCAGATTCCCATACCAGCCAGCCACCAAAAAAAGAGAAAACCACGTAAATTCTTGGGGAGCAAAAATTGGGTAACATCTCCTTTTTATATAGTATTTCTATCTTCAAAACATTTTCACAACCTCTCTGTTAGATGTAGTAACTATTACTTCCCTAGTTTTTCAGATCAGGAAATGAAGCCTAGGGAGTTTGATTTCTTTTTCCTAGTACCACATAGTAACTTAATATTAGAGTTGGATCTAGCCTGGACTTCTGTACTGTAAGTGCTACATTATATTATTATTATATTATGTGTATTATTACATATATTATTATATTAATTATATATTATTATATATTACATTGTATATTACACTATATTCTATTGGTACATTAGGGTAGGTTTAAATAAAGTTAAAGCACGTACTGTTTAGGGTATATTAGGCATTAGTCATTGTTTTAAAAATATTTTGAACATATCACCTTAATGTGTGAGTATACTAATTGTCACTATAATATAATGGTACATTTAGAACAAACATATCAAAACTTCCGCATCTAAATGAATTGCTTAGAAAGAGCTTCTGCTGAACCTGGAAGACTCTATGAAGTCCTTTGGTGCTACCACTGTTATAACCCTTTTTGGAACTTCCCCTTTAAAACAAGTCACGCAGCAAAACCAATTGCATTATTTTGGTCACATCTCATTGTTAACTAGGTGAGCTTTGGCTCTTTCAAAAAATCAAATGCATCTTCAAAGAGCGAAGATTTGCTACCACTAAGGCTTCTCAAGAGAATGTTTCATGGGCTTTTGGAACCTTTCCTTAGAAAGATATCCAAAATGATTTTGAGCTGAACTGGCATTGTTAAATAAGCATATATTCAATGAGAAAAAGAACCTTTATTTGGATATGTTCATTTTGGTACAGTCATAGTAATCTCAGGCTTTTCCTAGAATCAACATATTCTCAGAAGACTCCCAATTGTTAAAATAACACAGGGCCAGGCATTTTATTAGTTATTCTGTTTATTCCTCATAGTGACCCTAGGAGGTCAATAACATCTTTAGGTTACAGATGAGAGAACCAAGGTTCAGAGAGGTTAACTAATGTACTCAAGGTTTCACAGGTGAGCAGTGCTGGAGCAATATTTGAACCGTGCTCTATAAAAATGCTCTTGCATCCCTTTATCCTTCATTGCCTCTTTTATTTGTCTTAACATGAGGGCAGTTTATTTTACATGTGGAACATCATGACCTGGGTGATATTAGACTCGGCTTGCCAAAGGAGGTGTGGGAGATGATTTCATCATCCCATTAGAGGACTCATCCAGATTAACTTATTCTGCTAATGATTAGAGTCTAACCCATCTTTTCCATGTTCTTTAGTTAATAATGGTTCTTTCTGCATCAAGGGTGCGTTTGTATCCTGGCTTTGTTGACTTACAAGAAGCCGACTGGATCTTGGAACAGCTTTGTCGGGATATTCCCTGGAAGCAGAGGACTGGCATCAGACAGGGTATGTAGATCTCTGAGGTTGCTGTTGTAGCTGCCTGCTCTCCCTCCCTGGAATGTTTTCTCATACCATTGCTTCTGCTCACCACAGCCAGGCTTAAACTCAGATTCAAACCCTGACACCCTAAGGATGAGTAGAATTAGCCAAAGTGGACAGGGAAGAGTATGCCAGGCAGAAGAAACAAAAGATGGAAGGCCATGTTCTGAGAGAACATGGCAGGAGTTGAGAGATGAGAACTAAGGAACTGGAGGAAGTTTGGTTTAGCTGAACTATGATTAACATACTTATCTCCCTTTGTGTTTGTTCACTGCCTGTCTTAGTTCAAATGGTGCCAACTTTCCTTTCTTCATAAAAACTTCCAGAGATTTCTTTTTTCTTTTTTTGTCTTTTATCTTTTTCCGTGTCCGGCAACGGATCGCAACCCTCAGTGTTGCCCCCATACCGGACCAGGGACCGGCAACGGGATTGCAACCCTCGGTACTGCTCCCGCGCCTCGCTCAGCCAGTGAGCGGGAACCGGTCTGTATGTGGGATCCGAACCCTCGGGCGGGAGTGCCGCCGCGCTTCCCCAGCGGCGCACTATAGCAGTGCGCCACCAGGCCGGCCCATACAAATTATTTTTAATAAGGCCTAGTGACAAATAAAAATAATGTACCTGGCATTTCTCTAAAGTGAATTTTGGTGATTTCTCATTAAATTGAATTGGCAGAAACTCAGAAAGAATGTTTCTCCTTTTCAAGAAATTGTAATTGTTTTTGAAGCAGCAAGCCAGAGTTTTAGAAAAGTTTGCAGTGTCTTACATAGCATTGTTTTCCAATCCTGACTAGCATAGTGCTTGCTAGAAAGGAGCGCCGCCGCGCTTCCCAAGCGGCGCACTTATCCAGTGCGCCACCGGGCCGGCCCCAGAGATTTCTTTTTTCTGATCCTATTAGGCATACATTCTTTTGTGATCCTTTTTAGTGACTTTTTATTCTCATTTTACTTGCACCAGAAGAGTCCAGTCTCCTTTAGCTTCAGCATCTGTATTCTCCTGAGTTTGTAAAGGTGACACAGCAGTTTATTACTTGACTTGAAAACCGCTGCTCTGTGGGCATCCAAGAGCCAATGGTATCTGTTATACCATGGTTGGTCACTGGGGGGCATCTATGCTCTAGCATAGAGTTTCCTTTCTGGCGCATGGAGTGAATTCAAATTTCCTGTAAAGAAAGAGGCAAAGTATATACTGGGTTCATTTTTGTTATTCACACATCATAATAGGAATCAGCTTTTTCAGGGCAGCCTTCTCCCAACTCCCAGCAGTTTCTACAGCAGGGCTTTTGGTGACAGGCCTGGCTTTTATAGTTGGCTCTGTCATTCAAATAATTGTTAATTTTAAGCAAACTACAGTTAAGTAACTCTCTGATCCTTGTTCTTTTTTATCTGAAAAATTGAGCTAATAATAATGCCTATCTTATAAGGTCGTTGTATTAATTAAATGAGATCATGCATGACAAGTGTTTAACAGAATGCCTGGTACATAATAAGCCTTTAATGAATGTTAGCTGCTTTTATTATTATTGTTCTTCTTGTGGCTGATATCAGTAGAGGAAAATGTAGAAGATCTATGGATAGCTCCTTCTCTAAGTAAGTTTGGATATCAAAAACTTCTGACTAAAATCAGCTATATGCTACAGTTCATTAGAGCACTTTTTCCTTCATTTAGAATTAAAAAGGCTTATACAACCATATAAGCCTTTTTGGATACATGGGTGAACAGTTTGTTTTATTTCTTGTATACATGTTGGTGCCACAAATTTCTGCCTACAAGGGTTCAGGCTCCATACCTTGCTTTTTGAGAGTGTTTCTCATCTGAGCCCTTTTATTCCCCACTGTGACTCTTTTACTCTTGTTTATGTCATCATTGATACAAACAAGTCACACACATTCTCATCTCAGAGCCTTTGCCCATGCTGTTTCTGCCAACATGTCTTCTCTTGTCTTTTCTTCCTCAGAAGCGTTTATCCATTCTACTCACCGGATCCTACATCTTCTATGAAGATGGAACCTTGGGTCAGAGCCCATCTTTACTCGTCTTTTGTATTTCTCATAGCTTCTTGCACATTGAAAGACACAGAGTTGGCACTCAGTAGGTACACCTTAAATAGCACTAAACCATTTCAAAGGCCCTGTATTTTCTTTCTTAGATATAACTTATCAGCAACCAAGACTTACAGCATGGTATGGAGAACTTCCTTACACTTATTCAAGAATCACTTTGGAACCAAATCCTCACGTATGTTGAAATGTTGTTGGTATGGTTTTATGGACTATATACTATAAGTGTTCAGTACTGTAAAATAACAATAAATTACCTTGCAGAAGTGCATGATGATTTTCAGTTGAAAAAATCCTCTAGGTTCAAACATTGAGTCTTTATGCTTGTTATCCTTTATGTGCTTTTGATCCATAGATAAACTTGGAGAATGAGAAAAAAACTGGAACTAGAGTAAACTGGAACCAGAGTCCAGAATTTCAGAAAAATGAACTTTTTCTACTCCTAATATCCCCTTCCCCAAGCTTTTCTGGCTGTAACCTTTCTGTGTACACCCTGGTATACATTTGCAGTGGGGCTATGTCCCTATGGCTGGCAAGTGAGGTAAAATGTCTTTTTCTATTTCTCAGGCTCTTTTGCTATTTGTGAAAAAATCTGGTGTTTTTCTTGTTGACTTTGTATTCATTTTATGGCTGCAGTTCTCAGACTTCCAACTTATTACTACTTTGGCTTGTTTCTACTGCTTTTTTTATTTTTAAAAATTTCCATGACAGTAGACAAAGATATTCTAGTATATAAATTAAGCTTGGATGGAGTTAAGGTCCAAGAAATAGCTCCCTGTTTAGTGTCTGGCATCTTGCCTTTGGCAAATAATGCTATGCTTTACTGAAAGAGACTTTGAAGAAAATGGAGTTTTGTCTATGGCATTGGGATACACAGAAATGTGACACATTTCAGAGCTTCTAGTAGTTTATAATCACAAACTACCACTTTGGTAAAATGTTTAGGGATAAAACATTGACTGGAGGTGCATGGCTTTTTCACATAAGGTGATAGTTGCTTGCTTTGGTTTCTAGCATGGCATTTAGAATGTAACCCAGGGAAGTGCTGAGGCCCTTTATAACTGAGGTTGATTTGGAAACATGAAGAGAATTGAATTAGGTTGGTCCAACATTGGCTACTGCCCTTGTTTCTGTCAGAATTAATTTACTTTCTTGTCAACAGTCATAGAAGAGAAGTTGAGGATTAAATAGGTTGTGGGGAAGAAGTTCTTTCTCATTCATTCTAGTTAATGTTTTAGAACAGGATTTCTCAGCCTCTGCACTATTGACATTTTGGGCTGGATAATTATTTATTGTAGGGCTGTCCTGTGCATTACAGGATGCTCAGCAGTGTCCATGACCTCTACCCACTAGATGCCAGTGGTGCCTCTTATCCAGTCATCACAACCAAAAATGACTCCAGATATTATCAAATGTCTGCTGGGGGTCAAAACTGCCCCTGGTTAAGAAACCCTGGTTTAGAGTAAACAAGGCACACAGGATCTGCTGAGTAAAGTAGCCTCTGATAGTCTTACACTTTGGTGACATTTTGACAACTCTTCCAAAGAATTTTTTGATGACAAGCCTTTTTTAATAATGTATGGAATAGTGCTTATTCTTGGAAATTTAGAAACTGAAGATAAGCATAAAAAATAATATTAAAATTTTCGATAATTCTTTTACCTGATGTTTTGTTCTAATCTTTTTTTGTTTTAGGCAAATCAATTATGTATACTACCTTTCATTTAACTATATATCATTAACATGTTTTAGTATCATTAAATATTCTTCTACAACATTATATTTAATATCAGCATAGTATTTCATAATCTTTGCATACCATAATTTATTTAAGCAAGCTACTTTTGTTGGATATTAAGGTTGTCAAATTAGAATTCCTTAATTTATATTTGGCTGGCTCATAACATTGTGTTTATTGTTAATAGATTTAGTTAATTTATATGCTGTCTTTTAACAAAATCAAAAGAGTTGCTCCTTTCTCAGATTTTTTAAAGAATTATTCACTAATGTCTGTGTATGTATGTTGGGGATACTTAATTTTTCTCTTGTCATTAATTCAAGCTTAATATTTCATAGAAGAGGAGCAGGTTTATTTTTTTATTTTTTATTTTTTTGTCTTTTTTTTGTGACCGGCAACGGATCGCAACCCTCAGTGTCGCGCCCGTACCGGACCGGCAACGGGATCGCAACCCTCGGTGTTGCTCCCGCACCTCGCTCAGCCAGTGAGCGCCCGGTCTGAATGTGGGATCCGAACCCTCAGCGGGAGCGCCGCCGCGCTTCCCAAGCGGCGCACTATAGCAGTGCGCCACCGGGCCGGCCCCCAGGAGCAGGTTTAATTAGAGGTTTTTAAACTTCTTTTAGTCTTTTTTCCAACTAAATTTTATATGCACCTAGTGTGTAAAACAGATCAAAGCCTTGACTGGCTGAAAGTCCCACTAAGTTCACCTTTCCTCTCTCCTAGTCCCAGAGGCACCTCTGTCATACCTAGGACTCTATAAAACACTGTTTGAAATCCTGTATTTTCAGCAACCAAGACTTACAGCATGGTATGGAGAACTTTCACTAGATCCTTTCACTTCTGTGATTCATATTTACTCAACTTTTTCCCTCAAATGTCTTTTAAGGATAGAATGGCTTCACCGAACAGTGAGATAACGCCGAATTTTAATTTAGACATTTGCTTCTGAGGGATCTGTATATAGAGTATTGGTTGGAGAGTCTAAATAAATCTTCTAGTTCATTATCCCCTTTTTTCTCCTTTTCTCTCTACTTCACTACTAAAAATAACTTAGAAAAAATATATACCCACTTGGAAACATAATGCAAACTTGATGTTATCATAGTGCTTAGTCCCTGAGCAAGTCAGGGAAGTGCTAATTAGATTCTCAGTCACATTGTAGAAGAGCTATCTTCCTCCTTTACATTCTTGTTTTTCTCGTTAAGTGTATAATTCTAGCATTTGATCTTTATTCTCCATGAAGATAAATTTAAAGATGTGAAGTAAATAGGAAATATAGCTTGCTAACATTATTATTGGAGTTTTACTTTGGAATTTATTCTCTTGAACATAGGTCAGTTTATTAATATTTTTGTTTTATTGATCTAAGGTTTGTTTGTTGTTACTGTTTATTTTTTAAAAATCTTATGCTCAGAATGTAATGCTAGTATCCACAACAGGGAATCCCAGCTTTAACAGTGGTTTTCATATCACAATAAAGCTGAGTTATTCTCACATATGCTTTCCTGGCAGTTATACCTGACAATAGCCATGAGATATACTTAATAATAATATTATGCTTTCCTTTGCTGAACATCTGTTCCTTCACTACCAAACATATAACGTAGACGTTGGAGGAGTTCTGAAAGTATAATTTGTGGATCCCTGGGGGGTGGTCTACAAAACCCTTTTTGGGAGTTCACAACTAAAAATATTTTCATAATAATACTAAGACTATATGATATTTTGACTGTGTTAAATTTGCACTGATGGAACCAAAGTAATGGTGGATAAAAATGTTGGCACATTAGCATGAATCAAGGTGTGTCACCAAACTGTAAAGTCAGTGTGTTCACCATGCGCTTCCAGTTTAATTTTTTATTTTATTTTATTTTATTTTTCCTTTTTGTCTTTTTTCGTGACCGGTAACGGGATCGCAACCCTTGGTGTTGTGCCCGCACCACGCTCAACCAGTGAGCGGCTCGGTCTCTATATGGGATCCGAACCCTCGGCAGGAGCGCCGCCGCTGCGCTCCCAAGCACCGTACTCTACTGAGTGCGCCACCGGGCCGGCCTCAGTTTAACATTTTTAAAATGCTGGTTTCATTCAAGGAGGCTCCTTGGTGAAGAACTAAATATTTTTAGTTTTATTATCTTGGCCTTTGGGTACATGTCTTCTTAATAGTTTGATGGAATTGAAAGTGTGCATAAAGCACTCCTGCTGCAAACCCAAGTGCGATTGCTTGAGCTGTCAGCTCAACTAGCTACTTTTTTCATGGACTGTTTTTACTTAGAAGAGCAACTGGCAGACAGACGATGGTTATTTAGGCCTGGGTATTTGGCAGACATTTTCTCATAAGTGAACGAAGCATGTATCACTTCAAGGAAAATAATGGATTTGTCACTAATGATAAAAATTGAATTTTCAAGCAAAAATTAGAATTTTGGAAAACTGATATCTCCTATTTTGAGTCTGACCTCTTTCCATTACTTAGACTTTTCTGATGAGATCTGTGGTAATATTAACAGATGTGATTTTTTTGTTATTGTTTAACAAAATGTGTCAGCGTTTAGAAGATCTGTATAACTCAGTGAACCAAAGTTTTCCAGATGACCACTGGTTGATGTTATAAAATTATACGAGGTTAGATATCATTCAAAGTGCAAGCTGGACCAGTGGATTTAAATGTAAAAGAATATGAAAAGTTTGATATGGTTTCAGATTCTATGTTGCAGCTAATCTTTCAGAAATCAGTTGAGTTTTGTTGTAATATGCACTTGTTGGGTTTTGGTGTAATATCAAAGAAGAATGTCCACAATTATTTGAAAAGGCTATAAACTACATGTCTATGTGAATACAATTTTCTTAATATACTTCAATAAAAACAAGATATCATAACAAGTTGACTGCAGAAGGAGATATGAGATTCAGCTCTTCTATTAAGTCAGAAATTTGCAAAACAGTGCCACTCTTCTCATCAATTTTTTTGTATTGGGAATTACAGTTATTTTTTATAAAAGAATACTTATGTTAATATGTAATAGTTTGTTATTGTGTTTTAAAAGAGTTAACAAATAGTTTAAAATTTTTTGGTTTTAATTTTTAATATGGTAAATATCGATAGCTGTAACCCATATAAACAAAAGTTTTTGGGGATCATTAATAATATTTATAGTGTAAAGTTTGAGAATCACTGTCCTAAAGGAAGCTCTATGTCCTAAAGGAAGCACTTGAGATTTCTGAGAGGAAAGACATAGAATTCTAGTGAGAACCAATACAAGCTATGCTGATTGTAGCTCCCAGGTACAACCTAAGGTCAGGTGTCACAGCTTCTGGTAGTATACGTGGCAAGACAGTTCCAAATATAAACTGTGTAAGTGAACTCAGTGCCCAGGAGGCAGGGCTGTGCAATTTGTATAAGACTTCTGGAGTTCACAACTCATGTACTTAAGAGCATGTCATGATTCTCATTCTATAGAAAAGAATGTTTTTACCCTTTAGGTTCTGTTTTTAGTAAGTTAACTGCTCTATCTAAAAGATAAAAGTATCTTTTTAAAAAAGCAAATCTGTCATTCAGGATAAAATAGGAATAGAATGAACAGAGGGCCACCCAATAGGAAAGCTGTTTTGCTTTTCAGACTTTAGTCTGTGTCTGCTAACTACCTGGTGGCACATCAGCTTTACTGCTTCAGCTTCACTTACCACCATAGTGACTTAACCAAGCTGGCTGCCCTGAATATATTGACATTTGCTTGTTTGTGAGGTTCATGCATTTAACATGGAAAAGATGAGATGGATAGGTAGGCCCTGGTCCTCATGACATTGCTATAACAAATTTAGTACCTTTATGAAATTGCAGAGGTCAACTTGCTTCAAAATAGAAATGATGGGAGGGAATTAAACTACTCTTTTTGCCTTCTGTTTATTGCATTCCAAGTGGTTTGCTTATTCTATGCCCTGGTTTATAACTTGACTGATTTTGCCCTTTCTTTCTGTTTTTCCATGTGGCTGCCACTTTGTGTCTTATGTGACTGTCTCTGCCGCTTTCTTGACCTGTTATTGCAGTGGCATCCTGTGCTGAGCACACTAAAGAACCGCATTGAAGACAACACCGGCCACACCTTTAACTCCTTACTCTGCAACCTTTACCGAAATGAGAAGGACAGTGTGGACTGGCACAGTGATGACGAACCCTCGCTAGGGAGGTGCCCCATCATTGCTTCGCTCAGTTTTGGTGCCACACGCACTTTTGAAATGAGGAAGAAGCCCCCACCAGTGAGTATTCTCTTTCTTTTTTGATGCTCTTCCTGCCTCCTATTATTCTGTGAAAAAGTAGAGCTCCTAGAGACTCCTATTTTCAGATTTAATGGGTAAAAGTATGCGTTTTGTTGATGAAACATTTTCAACTGATTGCTTACTTTGTGGTTAACTTTTGACTTTGAAAGTGCCCGTTTATTCATTTACTTATCCAACAGGAATTGCCTGCCCTGTGCCAGGTGCTGGGGGCTGATTTTCATTGATGGAAAGGGCAGACATAATCCCTGTCCTCATGGTAATAGTCTAGTGGGGGTAGATGATATTGCTAATTACTCAAATACTTGTAACTGCAGTTGTGATAAATGCTATGAAGGAGGGCTTATGGAAGGGTGACTCAAGCTAGTGAGATGCAGCAAGAAGGCTCAAGGAAGATGTCCCTGAAGACGGCTTTAAGTGTTCTTCATGCTAATGTGGCCACTTTCCTGTAAGGGAGTGTCACGTGCATCCTCATTCCTTCTTAGCCTTTTCCAGAGATACAAATGAATCTGCAACTCTTTCAGAGAGAGGAAACTCAAGCCAGGTTATCAGAGGTGATGGTCTTTCCAAGCTCAGGTAGAAAAGCAGTGAGTAAACTGACTGTATAATGACTTCAGTTTTTCATCCAGCTCTTACATAGATTGCATACAATTTGAGGATCCTAGGGTTATTAATTTTTTAAAATCAAAAGTGTAGAATCTTAGGACTAAGATAGAAAGCAGAAATTCCAAGAAAAGAGCAAAACTCGACCAGATTATCTTATTTCCAGGTTTGTGTCTTTTCATAACCAAGGTTCCTGATCATTTGGCTTATAACATTAAGCCAGACCCAGTCAGTGTGGATGGCCAGCAGGCTGTGTTTTGATTATGACCTAATCCAGGCCATATTATTATTAGTCAGTCAGTGCTTATGTCTGTTCTTAATTGGATATACTTTTCCAAGGATACCATTAATGGACCCAGCTGTTTTCCTGCCATGTATTTGGATTTCCGTGCATGGTACTTTGAAGCATATTGTTACTTTGCATATATGCCATTAAGCACTCTTTGTTGGTATAATTTCTGTTGATTAGGTTATCTTTGCTTTTGGTTACACAGAAATTTTGCTCGTATGCCAATGTCTTATTGCCTTAACATGCTCCCTGAGCACTTTGAATAGCCTTCATAGTTTCATTGGCATGCCTTCTCATGTACCAAGAGTTCTACTTGAGAATCAGTCTACTGAACCTTTGCTATATTCTTTTTAGGTAGGGTTATGCTTCTGTACACAGGCTTCCACTCATTTAAATCCCAGGTTCACACATGTGAAGAATTTGCTCTGGCCTTAGTAAGACTCCTGTTATATGAGTAGCAGAGAAACACTGTGTCTAATAGTTTAAGTTTAGACCTTCCTCTCAAGTCGGACACATGGAACATCAACTTTTGCAAGGCATGGTCCTGGGACCTGGGGCTGTAGCAGTGAATGAGTGAGATGAAATTATCTTTCTCCTGCTGGAGCTCATCTAGCACATGCTAGTGCTGTGCCTTCCTCCTGGAGGTATCCTTGCATTCTTCTGATTGGCAAGCAAGATATAGTATATATAAGCTTTGGTGTAATACTGATCTTTAATTCTTCACAGTTATTTTCTTTGTTGCAAAGTATTTAAGTATTCTGTTACTGTTTCTTTGCACACATACATTCACCACTACCACTCCCTTTTAAAAAAAATGTTTGGCCTATTTATAGACTTGGAGCTTAAGAATTCCTAAAGTATGTTTTCTGGATAATTAGTTTTACTGTACAATGGTTTCCAACTGTTAGCGTTAACAGTGTTCCAATGTCCAGAAATACCCCATTCCTTCCCCTTCCAGGCAGCTGAAACTCTTCATTTTCTCATATGAAAACATAATACATGGTGATCAAGAGCTATTTCTTGGTAATGTACTTCAGTTACGTTATAGGTTAATGTGTGGATGGAGAAATTAATTACTATGTACAGCATTGTTTCTGTGGATCACCGTTTGGAACAAAAATCTGTATTTAAGAGGGAGACTGCCCATGCTGAAGCTTTCTCTTCTCCCAAGGTTTCTCAAAGTCTATTTTGATGAACATGAGTGAGAGAATAGGTCATGAAACACTCAAAAAGAGGTAAAGTCCTCTTAATTGTTTGCTAGTAGCAAGAGAATCTGCACCATAACTATGGTAGCTGATTTGATGATAATACAGATCTAATAAGTACTTTGAGATCTTGAAGCAAAGTTGGCTGAGGAAATGGATTTGGGAAGAAATATAAACATGTCAGTACCTCAATATATAAACATACATAAGCAATATAAACATGTCAGTACCTAGTAAGTTTTGGCTTCTGGTCTAGTCTTAATTATAATTGAATTTGATGTAATTATTGTATATCCTCTCAATTCTGGCTTTTGTTTAAGTTGAGGAAATTAATTTTTTACTTTTTTACTTTTTTTGGATTCAACCAATTTATTTATTTATTTATTATTTATTTTTTTTTGTTTCTTCCAAATTTTATTTTGTCAGTATACAATGTGGTTGATTATTGTGCCAATTACCGAAACCTCCCTCCCTCCTCCCACTTCCCCCTCCCTCCCAACAATGTCCTTTCTGTATTCTTGTCATATCAACTTCAAGGAATTGTAATTGTTATGTCTTCCTCCCTCCCCACCCCACCTGGTTTTTTGGTGTATTTATTTAATTTTAGCTCCCACAAATAAGTGAGAACATGTGATAATTCTCTTTCTATGCCTGACTTGTTTCACTTAATATAATTCTCTCTAGGTCCATCCATGTCGTTGCAAATGGCAGTATTTCAGTCTTTCTTATAGCTGAGTAGTATTCGATTGTGTAGATATACACATTTTCCATATCCACTCATCTGATGATGGACTTTCGGGCTGGTTCCAACTCTTAGCTATTGTAAAGAGTGCTGCGATGAACATTGGGGAACAGGTATACCTTCGCCTTGATGATTTCCATTCCTCTAGGTATATTCTCAGCAGTGGGATAGCTGGGTCATATGGTAATCTATCTGGAATTGTTTGAGGAACCTCCATACCATTTTCCATAGAGGCTGCACTTTTTTGCAGTCCTACCAACAATGTATGAGAGTTCCTTTTTCACTGCAACCTCGCCAGCATTTATCATTCACAGTCTTTTGGATATTAGCCATCCTAACTGGGGTGAGATGGTATCTCAGTGTGGTTTTGATTTGCATTTCCCAAATGCTGAGTGATGTTGAGCATTTTTTCATAAGTCTGTTGGCCTTTCGTATATCTTCCTTAGAGAAATGCCTGCTTAGCTCTTTTGCCCATTTTTTAATTGGGTTGCTTGTTTTTTTCTTGTAAAGTTGTTTATGTTCCTGGTATATTCTGGATGTCATCCTTTGTCAGATGTATATTTTGTAAATATTTTCTCCCACTCTGTTGGTTGTCTTTTAACTCTGTTAATTGTTTCTTTTGCTATGCAGAAGCTTTTTAGTTTGATATAATCCCATTTGTTTATTTTTTCTTTGGTTGCCCATGCTTTGGGGTCGTATTCATGAACACTGTGTCCAGTCCTACTTCCTGAAGTGTTTCTCCTATGTTTTCTTTAAGAAGTTTTATTGTTTCAGGGTGTGTATTTAATTCTTTAATCCATTTTGAGTTGACATTAGCATATGGTGAAAGGTATGGGTCTAGTTTCATTCTCCTGCATATTGATATCCAGTTCTCCCAGCACCATTTGCAAAGAGGCAGTCTCTTCCCCAGTGTATAGGCTTGGTGCTTTTGTCAAAGATCAGATGGCTCTAGGTGTGTGGGTTGATTTCTGGATTCTCTATTCTATTCCGTTGATCCATGTGTCTGTTTTTATGCCCGTACCATGCTGTTTTGGTTATTATAGCTTTGTAGTATAGTTTAAAGTCAGGTAGTGTTATGCCTCCAGCTTTATTTTTTTTTTGCTCAGCATTGCTTTGGCTATGTGGGGTCTTTGGTTATCCCATATAAATGTCTGGAGAGTTTTTTCCATTTCTAATAAAAATGTCATTGGAATTTTGATGGGGATTGCATCAAATTTGTATATCACTTTGGGTAGTATGGACATTTTCACTATGTTGATTCTTCCAATCCAAGAGCATGGGATATCTTTCCATCTTCTTGTATCCTCTCTAATTTCTCTCAGCAGTGGTTTGTAGTTCTCATTATAGAGATTATTCACATCCTTGGTTAACTCAATTCCTAAGTATTTAATTTTTTTGGAGGCTATTGTAAATGGGCAAGATTTATTGATTTCTCTTTCTGCATGTTCACTACTGGAGAATAGAAATGCTACTGATTTTAGTGTGCTGATTTCATATCCTGCTACTTTGCTGAAATCATTTATCAACTCCAAGAGTTTTTTTGTAGAGCCTTTAGGCTGTTCGATATATAGGATCATGTTATCTCCAAACAGGGACCCTTTGACTTCATCTTTTCCAATCTGGAGGCCCTTTATTTCCTTCTCTTCTCTGATTGCTCTG